TCAGATAAGAACCCCCTACTCCGAAAATCTGGCGGATGGAGAGGAACTTCGGCGACTGGTGTTTTGGGTGAGGATTCAGTCAGTGGAGTCAGCATCGCCGTTTTTGTCAATCGCGTTGTGGCTGCGATCACATTTGCACAGATTGCACACATCAGAACACGCAGATACTTATCTCCCTGTCCTAGAACGGATTGCTTTTGCAAAGAGAAAATGTCCGAAGCCTTGCCGCCACTTCGACTCACTGTTAGAGCACACTCGTCTAATACTCCCGCTTCCATTCTCCAAGGACGGTGAACAATCTTTCGATCTTCCATATTTCAACTCAAATACTCCAGCATTTGTTTTGGTTGAGGATTTGGCTTCCCCTGCCGACTGGTCCAACACACCGACGAAACATCGAACACTTCGTCTACCTATTTAGTATAATGAACACGCTCTGAGGAGGGGGAAGTAAAATGGAGTGCACAACACCGACATGATTGGACAAATAAATCCCATACGCACTCAGACTCAAAGGTGCGGCCGTGCTACATGTTGCACAGCGAATAAATGCGGTCGTGCGTGCAGAGACCTCCCAGTCAGCGACCAATCAATAGCCACTGCAGTGTTTAACATACACTTCGTTTAATTTCAATGGCTAATATCCCCTGTCAGCCACAACACAGCTCAATTAGATGTCTGCTTCCTCCATGGCTTTGAAGCAGCAGCTTAGATAATTCTGGGTGCCTTTCCAAACAAGGAGATCTCTTGCTCCTCCTTCAAACGACTGCTCGCATCCGCCTCATCCATTCCATCAACAACAAGGGAAGCAGCGGTGATGGAAGAAGTGTTTGCCAGCCGCTTGGTAACAATTTTCACCAGTCACCACTTTCTCTTCAGGGGCATGACATCACTCGTGAAATGATGGCATGACATGACATGAAGGAGAGTGGACGGGTCGACGTAGTCGGGGAGTTATGGTAAAGTACCCTCAGGAAATTGCAGGAGGATTGAGGAGGGTCCACTTGCTGTGTTAGTAAAATGGATGAAGAGAGAGTTGAAGTGGAGTGAGGAAAGGGATAAGAACAGGAAGCGGCTATTGAGCGGTTAAGCATAGAGGAGGACAGAGCGTCGAGACGATAACGCCGAGTTATCATTAATTAAATTATCCTGTTGGAAGTCTGACGACGTGTTGCTAGAAGTACCTGATTCAAGGTGTTGATTGTTGGCATTCTCTCGACGTCCTACAGTACTTGATTTTTGCCCTGTCAGGCCCGAAGATTCCAAATCGTAATAATGCCTTTGCGTTTAACAGGCAGCGTAGGGAAGCTATTGATCCTGTCACAATTTTAACTTCACGCAGTCGAAGGAGTGATTTCTGCTGATGGGGGAGTCAACTTTGAGAGTTGTGGATTCAAATCCCCGTGGAGAAATTTGACGACGTTCTCGACGTTGTAAAGATACCTGGACCAATCACAACAGCATTAGCTCGATTACATCGATGGAAGTGTTGCTGACATTGGTGCCGGTGTACATGTTGACGATGGTGGTATCGGTGTTGATAACAGTGGTGTTTGCGACAACATCGATGATGATGACTTGGGCGTGTGGGAGATGAGCTGGACGAAGACATTCTTCTTGAATGGTACTTTGAGAAGAGCTCATTTCGCGACGTCGACTTCCGCAACTACCATTGAGCAACGTTAGTTTAAGGAGAGCTCATCCAACACGAATGGAGGCGGGGATTTGGTCGAAATAAGAGAATGAGTAACTGCCTTTTTTATCGCTACTCTCAGATAAGAACCCCCTACTCCGAAAATCTGGCGGATGGAGTGGAACTTCGGCGACTGGTGTTTTGGGGGCGAGGATTCAGTCAGAAGAGTCAGCATCACCGTTTTTGTCGATCGCGTTGTGGCTGCGATCACATTTGCACAGATTGCACACATCAGAACACGCAGATACTTATCTCCCTGTCCTAGAACGGATTGCTTTTGCAAAGAGAAAATGTCCGAAGCCTTGCCGCCACTTCGACTCACTGTTAGAGCACACTCGTCTAATACTCCCGCTTCCATTCTCCAAGGACGGTGAACAATCTTTCGATCTTCCATATTTCAACTCAAATACTCCAG